TGCAGTGAAGGACAAATACGCTTCGGTGTTTTGACTTGAGCCATCTCTCCGTGACAAATATGCAATTGGATGGCACTGTCCCAGGTGGTTGTGCCATCTATTTAGAAACTTAGTAGTGAAAAAATCCTTTCCCCGAAAAACTTTTTTTGAACACACACCCCCTTACTTTTTCAACGTTTTGATGACCGAAATGTCCAGTCCCGGAAGAAGGGATTTAAATTGAAAATGGGGTAGATGGCGCAATTTGGCCCATTTTGCACATGTAGGGTTGCGCCATCTTCGGGCACATCTGCTGTTTCGGGTACATATCGGATTGAATTTGTTCACTACTAAATAGATGGCGCAACCACCTCTGAGAAAGTAGGTCAGAGCCATGCACTTTGAATATAGAGTACACAGTAGTGCTGGGCAGTGCTTTGTGCAAGCTTTGTAGTACAAAGTAGTACTGGGACGTGCTTCGTGCAAGCTTTGCAGTACAAAGTAGTACTGGGAAGTACGTTGTGCAAGCTTTGTATTACAAAGTAGTACTGGGAAGTGCTTTTTGCAAGCTTTGCAGTACACAGTAGTACTGGGAAGTAGTTTGTGCAAGTTTTGTAGTACAAAGTAGTACTGGGAAGTGCTTTGTGCAAGCTTTGTAGTTCAAAGTAGTACTGGGAAGTGCTTTGTGCAAGCTTTGTAGTGCAGAGTATTTCGGAAAGGCTTTTGTATGTAAATGCATTTGTGTCTCAAGTGTCTGTGTGCAAAAACTTTCTGCGCCCAATGGTTTTTTTGTGCAAGAGACTTCTCTCTGGCAGTAAGAGCTTTCTGGCGTGCAGAATTGCTAAGATGAGTTGAGACGAACTTCAAGGAGATGAGAAAGGTTGATCAGTGCTCGGATGAGATGGAAACAGTTGAGAAGAACTTACTTACAGTAGATGGTGAGAAGAGCTCACATAATTTGAGTTGAGATGGAGTGTCGAGTGCGAAGTGCAAGTGTGAAGTGTGAAGAGTGCAGTGTGAAGTGTGAAAAAGTGTTTGCTTCACGTTGCATTGCACCGGGGTCGCGTGCGGGTCATGTTCTTGGACAACAACACTGCAACAGCGTCGCACAAAGCACGCACGTACGGGCCTGGCTGGTGCACGGCGCATGCAAGTCCCCTAGTAGTAGTACTGGGAAGTGATTCATGAAAGCTTCGATGACATATGAGAAGAGATGAGATGAGAAGAGATGAGATGGGATAAGGTGAGAAGAGCTCAGATGAGATGAAGTGTGGAGTGTGAAGAGTGCAGTGTGAAGTGTGGGGCGTGAAGAGTGCAGTGTGAAGTGTGGAGTGTGAAGTGTGGAGTGTGAAGAAAGCAGTGAGAAGTGAGAAGTGTGAAGTGTGGACTGTGAAGTGTGAAGTGTGGAGTGTGAAGAAAGCAATGAGAAGTGAGAAGTGTGAAGTGTGGACTGTGAAGTGTGAAGTGTGGAGTGTGCAGAAAGCAGTGAGAAGTGAGAAGTGTGAAGTGTGGAGTGTGAAGTGTGGAGTCTTAAGAGTTCAGTGTGAAGTGAAGTGTGGAGTGCGAAGATTGCAGTCTCAAGTGTGAAGTGTGGGGTGTGAAGTGTGTAGTGTGGAGTGTGAAGACTGCAGTGAGAAGTGTGAAGTGCGAAGTGGTGCTTTAAATGTGACATGTGAAACAAGACACCACTTTCGCAGAGTGCACGCACGCACGGGCTTGGCTGGCGCACGGCGCATGCAAGTTCTATAGATGAGAAAGTCCTTATATCCTTAAGGCAACTTCCGCCCCACCTCGTGCGGGTACTACTGGTAAGACATTTGATGAATATATCAAATTAGGTATATTAAGATAATCTGATTCTAATTCTTAATAAATCTAAGCAATTGTTAAACAATGACCCATATATATATACACATTGAGTTGATATGTGTTTAAGGGTAATATAGCTGCGCATGTGTACTCGCCAAGTGGCAACTGACCAGGGACTCCAAGCGCGTTTCCAGCGCTAGCAACATTTTCGAAGCCGAGGCCGAAGATCGTTATTAAATAAATCATATACATATGTATATTGGTTGGTGGTTGAGCCACCCCTCTGAAAAATATGAAAGTCAGTTGGGATGATGGAAGTCCCAATATATGGGAAAATGTTCCAAACCACCAACCAGTATATATATATATATATATATATGTATGAGCAGGGATCACCACAGCCCCCGCTGTGATCACCCCCCAACCAGATGGTTCCCTCCTTTTTGTGGCCTGGGAGGGTTCCCAACAACAACAACAACAACAACAACAACAACAACAACAACAACAACAACAACAACAACAACAACAACAACAACAACAACAACGGGCCTACATGGGCAGTGTTTGTGCAGCTGTAAGTGCTTGATGTCCAGTTTATAGGGAGTATATGGAAAGTACTTAGGGGGTTTACAAGAAGTACATATGATTATATATGGATATAGTATATAGTATATATTTTTTTGCGCGCGATATATATATATATATATATAGATGTATATATATATATTATCTATGTATATCATATATCTATGTATTTGTAGGTAAAGGCTCCGTCCAAGCATATACAGTAGTATCTAGGATTTTGCAGGTATCACTAAGTGCCCTTTAACTACATAATTCATAGGTAGCAAATATGGTAAACCATGTGTGAGGTTCGCTATCGGCAGTGCATAAGCAATTTTTGGGGTGTATTTGCTAGTTACTGCTAGATTTGGAATTGATATGTTGGAAATATACAGCTAGACACTGGCGAGGTTGTGGCTCTCAAATGCTGCAAATAACGTACAAATGGGAGGCTGTGCTTTCAAAATGGTGCAAATATTGGTTTTGTTATAGTTATTACACATGTGTATATATATATATATGCAATCATATTTTACCATACGTACGTATTTATAGGGCCCCCATATCCCAAAATCTAGGGTTTATACATATATATATATATAACCATGGTTGTAGCCATACAAATTGACCACGCCCCAAATGGCTACACTTGAAATTCGATGACGTTGGTCAGCATTCTGGCAGGCTGCACCAATGATGTCCTGATTGAAGGGCGGCAATGGCATCCCATTCGCCCCTCACCTTGTGCATCTCGCTGCCAAGACATGTGCAGCGGGAGTGAAAATGTTAGGGAGAATGCAAAGGAATTGATGGTTCATCATCAGTGGGTTTTCCACATCTATGTTAGTTTACAGGGTGACGAAACAAGTTCTTGTTGACAGGGAAAATTGCCAGACATTGGGATTTACATGAGCAAGCAATCCATGTTTGAAGAATCCCAAGCTCCAAAATCCGGTCATTTTCTGGTACGGAAACCAACACAAAAACGAACGTTGACCCTTTGGCAGCATCGAAAGCACACCATATCGGCTGCTGATTTCACAGAATATGGTGCAGCTGGCTGTGAAAGCTTCCCCCCTTTGGTAAACTCACATAGCTATGAAAAAACACCAATTTTAAAAGGTACATAACCATGATAGATAATATATAAATGGACCATTTTCCATAGCTATGTTAAATAACCAGATGTTATCAACATAAATGGGTGGTACACGGGTGGTATAAACCATTCCCAAATGGTAGGTTTATGATGGTTTGTGGCATAGGGTGTGTACCACATTAACGCGCTTGGGCATTGTTTCCTTTGAAGACTTTGTGGTAATTGGAATGAAAGGACCTATGAGACCCAAAGAAATCCAAGTAGTCTAGAGATGTCTAGAGGAAAATCATGGAAAAACGTTCGGGATTCAAATGATCAATCGTTGGGATGAGTCCCGCATTGGCCAAACACCAGTTCATTATAAGCGAAGGGAAACATGAAGGGAAACATGAAGGGAAACATTCTGCATTGCTTCTATCATGTTTCTATCCTCCCAAACAATTGTCTGGCTGTTTCGAAGTTCCCGCATGCTGAGTCTGGATCGGTTTTCCCGCTATATTCTCGTTCGCTACTGGCTATTTCCCCCTATTACTCAATTGCTACGAACCAAGCAGGAAGGAAAATCAACTATGCAATCGAAACACACCTGGCCAACTTTGGTGCTTATCACCATTTTTAGTTCGTAAATTGCCCATCCCTATGTTTATAGTACTTCCAAAAAAGATCGAAAGGTTTCATTTTGGTTCAATTTATCACTATTTTAGGATTCAATTCTACATGGATTCATTCTTTTCTGCTTTAAGGGGAATCGCTAAAGAGTCAATCAATGTCATCATATCTGGGCAAATGATAATAATTCACTAACCTGAAATGTTGGGCCATTTGAGGATTCCCCAAATCCTAACCATGATTCCAGGCTTCGGGAGAACAGGGTTCGGAACAGTTATAAGAAATTTGCCCAGCTCATATGTCATCTATATGTTATCTATATATCCAATCTTCATATCCTGGTTGTTTCATGTTGTTTCCCCCTTGGTCGAAAGGTCCGTTTCTGTTTTAAAAGGCTCCCGCACGGCATGGCGAAAGCGGATGGCCGCATGGATCCGGAACCTGCAGAGTGCACCAATTCGAGCTCGCGAGCGAAGTTGAGATGGCTGTGGCGAAAAAACTATGGTTTATAGTAGATATAACTATATATAGTTTTCATGGGGTTTATAATCCAACTTATAACTTTAGATGATCTAAAATGGTTTAGGGTAATTACCCCGAATGTATGAAACCTCCACATGAACTAATCTTCAAGTGGGATGAACACACCAGCAAACCCCGTTCATATATGTTCATATTACATGTTTTTACATGCTTTTATAGTTTATCGATCTATGCTTATCTTATGTAATATATATATAATGTATATTATGGCTAGGCCAGGCTTGTCAGTGTAACTAACATGCGTCAATAGTATACAGGTAAAATTTGAGACTGAGAGATCGGCAAGTCTTGGCCATGTTCACCACGGAGCCATGTTCATCCAGTTTCATCATTTTCGGGGTCCCAATCCTGTTACCCATATGTACCCAAATCTCGATCAACCATTGGCAGTGCTCTCTCAATCACAATCTCAAGCGAGGCTGTCTTTTGGCAGATGTGAGACATGCTGAGACTTTAGCTGGAATACACTAGCAAAGACCTTTTTCAAAAACTATGGGGTGACCCGCCCTCTGCTATTCCTCATCTTCACCGATGCTCTCGAGGTCATGCTCTCGTGGCTTGCGAAGATGTTTGAGGTCAAAGGAACCCAAGTGGAACTCAACAAACTCCGGTGGACCTTCCGTCTCTTCATCTCCATCCCCAACTGAGACCACAGCACTTCTGGCACGGAGGTAATTGCCGGGGCGGCCAGGGATCCGAAACAACAGGCTTGAAGGGAAGCGCCAGACTTTTTCGGTGTGTTCGCCGTGTTCGGCCGCGAGGCTCTCCTTGGCACTGCGAAAGAGATCCTTCACTCGCTGCCAATCGTTGACGCAAACGAAGCTGCGCAGTGTCGGCATGCCATCTCTGTGGTGCGAGCCCTGCGAGCGCGAGAAAGACAGGGTGGCTTCCTCGATGTCCAGCCGCGGCGTGTCGATGTCCACGAGAAAACGAAGCTGCACGAGCTGCCTGATGGCCTTTACCACTTCGTCTGTGCTCTCTGAAGGCTGCCTTGGCTGCACTTGCCGTTGCTGATCGAAGTGCCATGGGCCATGTGGACCATGGGCGTCAGGGGGGATACCAAACTGATCCGGATCAGCACGAAAGGCCAGGAGGTAGTAGTCATGTCCTGCTACAGCACAGCTTGTGCAAAAGACATCGGTGGACACCAGGCCATGAGCACCCTGCAAGATGATCCGCAAGCAAGGCGGGATGTCTGCTTTGTTTTGTTTGAGGGCGGCTTCACTCTGCAGAAACTGCAAAAATTGTTGCCGACCACCTGCATCCAGAAAGAGATCCAAAAAACTGCTCCCACTCAACTTCCTCTTGATGTTCAAGAGCCGTTCCAACGTGGTGGAATCCTTCACAATGCAGTGACTGCAACGGTCCAAAACCAGGTCGCCGTCACAGACCCCCCTCAAAACAGCACGCGATGCCAGAAGGAGAGAGGACGCATCATCAGATTCCAATCTTGCAGCAATGTGGCATTGTATGACATACACCTAGAAAAGCAAAAACATGACTTGCAAAATGTTGGTCTTGTTCAAATACAACGTGTATTCAATGTTTTTTGCACACGATTATTTGTTTTTTCCCAATAAGAAACGCGGCGAGTAAGATCCACAACTTTGTTCCGACTGGTGCGTGGGGCTACTAAACATCCAAAGTTTTTTTTCCCGCACAGTCGTGCCGGCAACATAAAGGAAATCACCGGACGGAGAATAAGCCTGAATAAGCCTGAATATATGAAGTAAATCACAAAATCGGCCATGGATGTTCTTTACTTGCGATGTTGATATAGCAATAAAAACTCATTTAAAAAAAACACAATATGATATGAGGCCGAGCATGTCAGACCACATGGGCACCAGAACATCCAAAACATAACGCTTCAAGATCTTCAAGGCACCAAGCAGAACATCATCCCGGCTAACAGAACATGCGAGAGCACACTTGATAAGACCATCATGGGAGTAACAGGGCCGCCTATCTGCCATTGTTTCAAAGTGACCGCTGTGGCTCCCAAGATATAGGTGGGGATCGGTACCTTCCAATCAATGAAAGCCACAGATTGAACCACAAGTCCGGCAGCTGCAAGCTTTTCCATGGCAGTAATGGCGTGAAGGTCCGTCTCCTTCGACACAACACCGTAGGTCCAGACAGCGTAGGAACCGACCAAAAGACTTTGCATGATGCGAAAGTGGCTCAACGCTTGGATCTTTACGAAACCTGCTTGCAGGACAGTGTGCAGGCCATATTCCACCAGGGGGGCCAGAAGTGCCATGGCTGAAGACAGGCTGGGATTCACCAGCAGCTGCTGCATCATGACAAGGTTAACTGCAAAGACCACGTGAATCCCAACACGTCGAAGCCTTTCAAAGATGTCTATCCGAACTTTCAGCAGCTCCGCCTCAAATCGCTCCTGTCGATCCAGCTCGTGCTGGCTCGGGACCTTGTGCGAGAGCTCACGAAGTGCTGCCAGCCCGAGGTGCATATCGGACTTCGTCAAGCATAGGTGCACAGATGCCAGCAGCAGCATTGAGACCACAACCGCAGATGGGACCCATTCGCCCTCGATGTCCATTCCAAGACCCAAGATCTTCGGAGTTGACATGGTGAGACACGCACAATAAGAATCACTAAAGATATTGTGTATTGACAATATTGATACAATGAGGGGCCCCCTAGCTATAAATTGGTTTATAAACCCCATTAACTATAGATATATCTATCATAAACCATAGTTATTGAAGTTATGTGCACCAACTTAGCTAACTATGGCAGTAACTATGGGGCACCACATTGATAGGTATTTTACACATGAACTTGAGCCAATAAAGTGGCCCGATCGCACCCTCTGAAAATCTTGAAAGGCTGTGCCGGTCGGATGTCCATCCGGTCCAATCAAAACTTACAGAAATGACATACGCATTCCATCTTGGTGGATCATCCCACTTAGATCTTAGTAGGTTATATATCCCTAGTGTTTATGTTCGTGGAATAAGTCAGGTGGATGAAACCACCATTGGGAGGAACTAACATAACTAACCCCTAACCTAAAACAAGAATAAACCATCCCCCAAATCATCCTGGTATTTTTGCCATTCCCAGTCATGGGTGGTTTATGACATTGTTTTACTCACATTACCACATTTCCTATTCGGAGGATGGCTTCATTATTCGGTTTACCAGTGGTTTGGGATTTACCATATATATAATCATATATGTGTATAACCATATATTGTAATTATTCCAAAGTCACTGAATATGGTTGAAACCTCCATAAATTGACTATTAACTATAGTTATCTATAGTTATACCTGCCATAAACCATCGTTAAATGTTTAAGTTCAACCACTTCCTGCCATCAACTGTAGCCGCTACTCGGGATGGGAAATTTCCAGGCCTTTCAGCAGCATCCTCCACGACCTTCCTGGATGTGGATGTTTGGCAGCAGAAAACGTGTTTAAATCATGTAACCCCGGAGATATAAACATATGGTTTGGGATAATTAGGGGGTAACATGATTTTGAAAAAATGATAATAATAAAATATAGTTTTATGTTTTATAAATATGGTTTGGGATAATTAGGGGGTACTCACTCAAATAGTGATCATCTGATACTTAAATGGTAGCCCACAATGAAACAGCGGGAAAGCAGCCTAGGGTGTGGATCCAGGGTTATCTGACTTGGAACCAAACTTTTTCGATTCCATGTTTGGGGCATCTGCAATTGCGTCCGCCGGACACTTATCATGGTTTCCATTCGTTGCCGAGCGATGACGCCACCAAGATCTTCCACCCTTTGACCCTCAACGTACCCTTAGAAATGTACCCCAGGATGAGGCTCATAACGAACTAGTACTGTTCTCATTTTCTCCGGATATTTGGAAGGTCTAGCTTGGAGTTGCTTGGAGTTGAGCCCCTCCCACAAATATAACTTACTCCCTATGATTCCCCAGTCGTAGTGGATTTCCCAGTAGGAAAATCAACTCAATAGATTTAAGGGAAAATCTACAGGAAACCAACCATTTTCCCATGAAAATCCATTAGATATGGACATTAATATGGACCTTCCCTGGATGTTGTTTTCCCTTTTTCCCCAATCCGTTGATCAACAATCACCTTAAACAATCCCAAAGACATGCAAGGGGTCCCCAAGGACATCATGCATCCGGGTCTGCTCCTGTTTCCACTTCGCAGGACACCCTGGCAGCTCCCGTTCCGATGAACCCTGTGAAACATATTAGTCAGTTGGGATTAGTATTCCCAACGTATGGAAAAATAAAAAGTGTTCCAAACCACCATCCATGTACCAGGTATTTTGATGTCTTTTGCCATGGATGCATAATTTGTAATAATTTATATAGATATGATCCAAAATGGATAGACAGAAATTTAGTAAATACTAAAACATACCAAAACCTATATGATTTCATCTATATAGAATACACTTGAGACTTGATACATCTTGATCCAGCATTTCAGGACACGAGCGGGATAAAATTTAACCCGGAAGTTACGTCGACCGAGTCTACCATCTCAGAATTTATCTAACTTAAAAGTTCGACCCTAAAAATCAAGCCATGTTTTGACATGTTTTGTATATAGAAACATTTACCTTCCAAGCCCTGTGTGGCAGGGTCGTCATGCTAATTTACTGGGAATCAACAACAGATGTTGTTTTTATTCAAAGTGGCTCTACCCCTAAATCATTCATGTTGATGGGGATTGTCTATTATCAACCAAGCATTTTGGGGTACCCCCATATATATCCATTTATGGACGCCCGCAGATGTGAAACCTCCCGGATTTAGAGTAAAGGACGTCGACCCAGCGCAGTTCCCAATGTCCACTGCTTGCGGCACTTTTCGAAGAGCTTAGAAGCAACCAAAATATGAAATAGATAATATACATATATAGTATATACATATATAATATATACATATATAATATATACATATATAATATATACATATATAATATATACATATATAATATATACATATATAATATATACATATATAATATATACATATATAATATATACATATATAATATATACAATATAAATATATACATATATAATATATACTCTATAATATATACATATATTAATATATACCTATATAAATATCATATATATATATACATATATAATATATACATATATAATATATACATATATAATATATACATATATAATATATACATATATAATATATACATATATAATATATACATATATAATATATACATATATAATATATACATATATATAATATATACATATATAATATATACATATATAATATATACATATATAATATATACATATATAATATATACATATATAATATATACATTTATAATATATACATATATAATATATACATATATAATATATACATATATAATATATACATATATAATATATACATATATAATATATACATATATAAAATATACATATATAATATATACATATATAATATATACATATATAATATATACATATATAATATATACATATACATATATATATATATATATATTTGTATACACACATGAACATGAAGTGTATATCTTACTGCTGCTGAGTAGGGAATGAGGGAATGATCCATAATCACTAGTAATAATAATCCCATTGCCCCATTCCCATCCATTCCCTACGTTTAGCACCAGTAAGATATGTAATGGTCATTAATGCTATACAACAATAAACCAGGCACATATCTAGCGCTACGGAGAAACTCTGGGGCCACCTGGGGCCACTGTGACGCTTTTTTCATCTGGTTGGTGGTTGAGCCACCCCTCTGAAAAATGATGGAGTGAAAATGAGTGAAAGTCAGTTGGGATGATTGTTTTATTCCCAACTGAATGGAAAAATAAAATTCATGTTCCAAACCACCAACCAGTCATAATACATGCAAATGTATAGACCTAAATATAGTATTTTTTCAAACATGCACAAACTGATGTAGTCTTTTGGTGGAACTATATAGTCGAAGGAAGTTTAGAAGCCAAACTTCCGACAATATGGACAGATGAAAAGCAAAGCAAGGAAGAGGCAGAGAGAAGAGAAAGATTAGAAGAACGAAGAGTAGAAGAGAAAGAGTAAGAAGAAAGAAGATGCAGATGCGTGAAAAGGTAGGGAAGTCGCGAAACACTGTGTTTTTCTAATGATTTGGGGCTCCGGAGGGTCGAAAAGTAGGCTCGCTAAAGCGGCGGGTGCGGAGCCAGCTGGCCAGATGAGAGATGAACAATTGCACGCCGTTGTGGCGCGAAGCACATTTCCAAGTCAAAATGTACAAAACGCACCACGTTCGAACCACTTTTGGAAGTTGAGATGTTGAAAAAGTGCACGCCGTTGTGGCGCGAAGCACATTTCGAGGTCAAAATGTACAAAACACACCATGGTCGGACCACTCTTGGAGGTTCAGATGTCGAAAATGTGCACACTGTTGTGGCGCGAAGCACATTTCAAAGTCAAAATGTTAAAAACACCAGGGGTTCGGACCACTTTTGGAGGTTCAGATGTCGAAAATGTGCACGCTGTTGTGGCGCGAAGCACATTTCAAAGTCAAAATGTTAAAAACACTAGGGGTTCGGGCCACTTTTGGAGGTTCAGATGTCGCTTCGCTACAATACACTACATTACACTACAGTACACTCCACTACACTACACTAAATTAGACCACACTACACTGCACTACATTACACTACACTACACTGCACTACCTTCCACTACACTTCACTACATTACACTACACTACACTCCACTACACTACAACTACAGCTACAACTACAACTACACAACCACACTCCACTACACTAAAGTACACTACACTACACTACATTACACTACACCACACTCCACTACACTACATTACACTACACTACACTCCACTACACTACAACTACAACCACAACTACACAACCACACTCCACTACACTAAAGTACACTACACTACACTACACTACACCACACTCCACTACACTACATTACACTACACTACACTACACTCCACAACACTACAACTACAACTACACAACTACACTCCACTACACTCAATTACAATAGAATACACTACACTACATTACACTACAATACACTACACTCCGCTACACTACACTACTTTACACTACACTACACTACCTTCCGCTACACTTCACTAAATTACACTACACTACACTACACTCCACTACTACACTACACTACAACTACAACTACGACTACAACGACAGAACTACACTCCACTACACTCCACTACACTCCACTACACTACATTACACTACACTCCACTACACTACATTACACTACACTACCTTCCACTACACTTCACTACATTACACTACACTACATACACTCCACTACAACTACACCTACGACTACACAACTACAGTCCACTACGCTCCACTACACGAAATTACACTACACTACACTACTTTACACTGCACTACACTAAATTCCACTACATTCCACTACACTATACTACATTACACTACACTACATTACACTGAATGACACTGCACCACAGATAGACAAGTAGACAGATAGACAGATAGACAGACAAACAGACAGACAGACAGATAGATAGATAGACAGCTAG